ACCCCGCGCGACGCACCGGCCATCCAGCGTCTTGACGGGCACCGCGCCGCCCGCCAGGGCGTTGAACAGCGGCAGCCGCACGCGCGCGACCAGGTCGCTGCCTGACCGCGAGAATCGCTCATGAGGCGCGGCCCTCAGCACCAGGGCCAGCGGGCCGCGCGGCAGGCCCGGCGCCGCGGCTTCGCCTTCCCTGCAATTGTTGAGCGCGAGGCGGGCGGTGGCGATAAGCTGGGGCTGGTGCTGGTGAGGCGTGCCACTGATGAGGCAGGCAGGGCAACGGCACGATCCAGTCCCACCCCAAACCCTCCAACAAGCTGGCGTCGCCAACACAACCTTCCCGCTCTGGTTTGGGCACTGCTTGCTAACGCGAGTTTTTGTATTGCGAGCGCCGCGGCCCCTCCTATTCATTGAAAACCCTCTCCGCTTCGTCAGACCTATCGCGTCGTCAGTCGCGCGTGCATATGCTAGCAGCCCAGACGCACCCTTGGAACACAAACGCCGTGCCGTCTGGCATCCCGGCCTCGACCTCCACCGCCAGCCGCCGTGGCTCCGGCGCCGGCGGCGCCGCCCCGGCCTCGCCCTCGCCCTCGCCCTCGCCCTCGCCCTCGCCCTCGCCCCTGCCCTCGCCGCCGACGGGCGCGGCGCGGTCGCGCAGGACCACCTTTGTGCAGCCGCTGTACAGCTCCTCCAGTGACACCAGCAACTCAACCTGACAGTACACAGGTTATGGGATGTTTTGGCATCGGCGTCCAGCCGAGGGCCATCAGGAGCGATGCGTGAAGCACAACGAGCGGCAAGGGATGCACTCACGTCGCCCCCAAAGAGAGTGACAGGGAAGGCGATTGTCCAGCCGCGCCTCACCGTCGTCTGCTGCGGCGCCGGCTGCTCTTTCACTGTCGTCAGCTTCTCAAACCGCATCGACAGCACTGCAATTGTGCGCGGGCGCGAGCGCAGCACGGCTGAGAGCGCGACACTCCCGGCGTGTCAGGCAACCCGGAACCTGCAATGAGCTGCTGCATCTGCTGCGGCATCCATGCCAGTAGCTGCGGCGTCCGCCCTGCTCATCCCAAGCATGCTTGCGGGCGCCCGGCGCCGCCCAGTGCCCGTCCTTCATTTACCTTGCAAGGCCTCGTATGGGTTGCCGGTGCCAAAGAACCGCTCAAACACGGCTCTGGGCCCCACCTTGGGGTCAAACTCATAGGGCTCTTCCCCTGCATGAGCCGGGGCGGGGGGAAACCATCCGCGAAGGCTCACGCCTGGGCCCACCTGCTGCTGCAGGCCTGTCCGCTGCTGGGCCCGTTCCGCGTCCAGTGGAGCTGTCGGCGTGTCTGCGCTGCGGTTGCGGCAAATCCCCTGTGCTGCAAAGCAGTGCGTGCTCACCATCTCTGCCTTCCTTCAGCTGCTGCTTGCCAAACAAGTCGTATGTGCCCTTTGTCCTAGCTGCAGGGGGGAAGCAATGCGACCACACACGCACAAGGAGGGACATGGTCAAATCCTGCGCTCCAGTTTCACCCTGTGCTGGAGCGAGCGCAGCAGCAACAGCAGCAAGATTGCCAAGCTCCGCGGCCATTGCCGATTGTGTGCCAGCAAAATTCAAAGACAGTGGTGAGCAGCCGCTGCTGGTGCCGTGCAGGGGCGGGCGTGCCAAAACTGCTGGCATGGCGCTGCGGCGGCCCCCTCACGGTCGCTCAGGACGTCATACGCTTCTCCCACAAGTGCAAATTCCGCCGCTGCCTCATCAGATGTGTCTACATCCGGATGGTACTTGAGTGCAAGCCGACGGTAGCTGCAGCGGTAGAGTGCGCACGCAGCATGCAGCCGGGGGCTTGACAGGCGGCCTCGCACCACCACAGCGGCAGTGGGCGTTCAGCTAAGTCATGACGCACGGCGCCTGATATTTGACAGAACTACGTTACTCACGCTTTCTTGACCTCTACGTCGTCCGAGTGCCTGCGTGCAAAGCAACACTTGGATTTTTCTACTGCTGAGTGCACCCTTCGCTTCTTGAACAACTCAAAAAAGTCACCTGGGTATCCCTAATACTTCGTAATAGTCCACCGAGCGACCCATGCCGAAACGCCTGATGACGAGCCAGATCACTTGTTTGACTATCGAGTCGCGGCTACCATAAGCTCAATAAATTATATGATGCGCTTGATCTGCACAGCTTATCATACTCTGCTGAGACACTTCAGTCTTGATGGGGACTGCGGACGTTTGCATATGCAGCTGCATGATGTGCACGCTGTGCGGGCGCATGGCGCACATCACAGGTTTGCTGCGTTTCCCTTGAGAAGGGGGGGACCTTGGGTTTTGACTGTCGCGCGTGTTCTGCAACATGCTGGGCGTGCGCGGGGGTGCGGGCGGGGGGTGCTCGAGGCGTTGGGAGGGGCTGGGGCCGGGGGGAGGGCGAGCGCATCTTGCCTCTTGGACGAGTTTAATAAGGGGCAGGCATGAGCGCATTATGGTAAGTTTTGGCAGACAATTACTTGAACGATGTTGAAAACGCTCGCTAAATGATACAACATGCTTTGTTACCCCATGCTTGGCATGCGCACCTGTGCCTTGCAAACCTTCATGCCAGGGCGTTCGTTAGCAGGCGGGTGAGGTTTGATCAGAGGCCCTCCAACATGCGTGTAATTGTCGCAAGGACGCCCCTCCAGCTCTGCGTACCCCACCTTGCATGCAGGACTCAGCTGCAAGGCTCCCGAGGCGGCCCCTTGCAGTCAACACTTTCTCTGTCGCAGGAGCGCGCCGCTCCAAAGCATCCCTCCGGGAAATCGCGAGCGGGGAAGTTCCCGTCCAAAGCGTTGGCAGTGACCCCCAGCCTCACAGGCCGTGTACCCGACATCCGCCAGCTGTAGACTCACCCGCCCTCCTGTGACACCTGCAAAAGTTGGTGATCCATTGACTCATGCGGTGGCCCGCGTCTGCGCCCTGCCTGGAGCGGTTGGAGGGCTGTTGCAAGCCTGCCCGGCCCCGCATCATCACACTATCTTCGTCTCCGTCATGGATGGACCACAATGAGGAGGCTGCAGCAGCACCCCTACAAGTGTGGAAATTTGCTGGTGCAGAGCCGGCCTGCCTCACCTGTACACACAGCGAGACAAACAGGCAGCACAAAGGCAGCCTAATCTACCATGCCCACCCCCTCCATCCCGCCAACATGCCACACGAAAGCATATAGGCCCCCTACCAGCCCCTCCAACCCCGTCCACCCCCCCCC